AAGTAGTCATGATTACAAAGAGCCTATGAAATCTACTAACTGATCTACTTCATATATACCCTCTTCTTTACACCAAAAATATAGAGTATTAATGCAGTTTTCTTTAACTTTCTGCATTGGGTTAGTAATATTCTTAAAGCACCTATTGTTTCTTTCCTTCCAAATTGACCACCATATGCAAGATGGAACTAGATTCCACCATTTTTTCTGTGTTTTACTCCCCCCTCTTCTCATCCAACAGTTTAGTAGGTCAGCAGTATGCTCAGGCACCACCCAAGGATCTTGAATAATGCTTTGAAGCATATACCATATCTGGGAAGTCACTCTACAGTGAAGGAACAAATGATTGTTTGTTTCCTCCTTCTCATGGCAAAAGAAGCACCTAGAAACAATCTGAAATCCTCTTTTTTTCAGTCTCTCCTGAGTCAGACATGCTCTTCTGCACACTAACCATGTGAAACACTTTATCTTGGTTGGGGTGTTGGATTTCCAAATTTGTTTCCAAGGTCCAAAAATGCCCCCCGGGTGTGTTGCCAGGTCTCTTTTGTACATTCTTCCAACAGAAAATTCCCCATCCCTATCATGTTTCCATCTGATTGCATCAGGATTAGTGTTGAGTCCCGGAAAATCTTCCAACCTTTGCAGTAAATTGGCTACTCTATCCACCTCCCAGTCATTTAAGAGCCTCCTAAGGGTTATATTCCACCCTTGCTGAGACCACATCTCAGCAATAGATGTTCCAGGGTTGTCGCAAAAAGAGTACAAATCTGCAAAGTCCTCCATGAGGGAGTTCTGTCCTATCCACTTGTCTTTCCAAAAAAGGATCCTAGTCCCCTCACCCACCTTGTAGCATATGTTCCTCGCTAGTTTTGGCCACAAATTTCTGATAGACCTCCAAACTGAGACCCCAAGTTTAGACTACAATAATATTTCACTTGCTCAAATTCAGTGAATCTAGATATGTGTGAAGATAGACATGTATTCTCTTTATACTCCAACAACACCTATAAAAAGGTCTGTAGTGCATTTATCAACTCACTAGTCACCAGTACATCGTTCTCTTATATTCATTTCTCAGTTACTTCTAAACTTTGTCGTAATGTCACAATGGCACCAAAACAGTTAATTGTGTGAAGATGAAGAGTGGCAGTGTCTATCTCAAACTAGTACAAAACCAACCCATTCATAAGGACCTCTACATGATGGCATAAAATAGACGACTACCTTATGCTATGATAAGATAAATACCTGGGAGAATCACATGAGTTGGCTCGGATAACTGATGTTCACCAATAATTGAATCTGAACGAACTGGCGTATATCTGCAAATTTTGGGTAACATGTTTTAGAAAGAAAAAGATAATATACATGCACCTCTTCTTTAAAGTTTTTCCATATGTCATTTGTTTATTTTCATTTTTTCTTTAACAAGATTATTCAAAAAAGAAAAAACAGAAGAAACACTCCTGCAAAAGACTAGAAATTCAACTGCATGTATAAGCATCAACTACTATGCCTCTGTATCTTACAATAAAACACTTCAAAATCCAGTCAAAAAGTTAGACGCTGTTACCCGAAAAGTAAACGATAATTGTAATCTTCATCTACAACTTCATAAGTTTTAGAACATGCTCCATTGATGAGAGTGATTGTTCCCTCATCAGTTTCTCTGTACCAGCTAAACAAGCTTGTTCCTTCATGACCACCAAAATATTCTCCTTCCCCAAGGTAACTACTGGATGAGAGCTCCTTTGCATGAACATTAGAAACTACTGGAGAAGCTGCCACATATTTCACAAGACATCTTCAGTACAACACTTCAAAATACGCAAATACTCCATATGTTCCATTTTATATGGCATTCTTTCCTTTTTAGATTGAATATCAGGTAGGAGTCCAGCACCCTTTAATTGAAAGCTCTGAAATAGAATATACTATCTCATACTAAAAGAATTAAAAATGGAAAGTTTTTGAAGGGGTGGAACTTGATTTTGTAAAAATGAAGAGTACTGTTTTGTCCCTAGTTTACTTTTGGTGTACTTGTGAGGTCCCAATTTGTATAGAGGATTGGATCTCTTTTGTAGAGAACCATATTTTGGTGTAGGTTCTCTTCTTTTGGTATATGGATTGTATACGGGGTTTCCCCCCAAATGTTAATAAAATTATTTACCTTATCACAAATAAAAAAAAACACTCCAAGATATTAGGTTGTAATCAATGATGGGGAAGGGAGACATAAATCTAATCAGGAGTAGGAATCAAGGTCTACCTGGGGAGACTGGAGACTCGCAAACTGATGCTAATGGGTTCCCAGATTTGCCATCTATGCGAATTGGCAGCCAATATAATGACAAATATGCTCCCACATCTTCAAGCGATGGCGTATATGATCTGGTAAATACATATTCAAAAAGGATTACTCACAGAATAAACAAACATGAGATGTGTTCTTTTGAGTTTTTTTCAACAAGTAGTCAAAGTTAGTAATTATTACTCTTAAGAAGACTTACATAGTCCTTGCACAAATATGTACATCCTCTGTAACGCTAGGCAAGTTCAGCAGAGCAGATTCATGAAGCTTATTCTTACTCCGATACCAAACATATTCACTATCACCTTCTTTCCCTCCAAAGTATCTCTGATTGGGAACTATTGTCTCGCCCTCGCAGCATTTAGGAATTGACAATTCAACACCAATTGGGTCCCCTATCTCAATGCAAGGTCAATATAAGGTAGAAGTACTTCATATGAATGATTTAACAGCAGAATAAAAAGCACAAAGTCAAACAGTGTAATTATGGAGGTTTACTGCATGGAGCAACACAAGAAAATAGTGCACATAAAACTGTTAAAAGTTCGTGAAAATAAAAGGCTGTTAAAAATTGGAACATCTGAGGAAGTTCATATTCTAGCTAATCTGCTAATGTCATTCCGGGATCATGAATAATCAAAGACATGTTATTTGGTCAAAAATATTCTGCTCAGGCTTCACCAACACAGAATCAATTCATGTGATTGATTGCAGAGAACAAAAAGAAGCAGAATTCAAATGTCTGAAGAACTTGACAAAAATTATTGTCAAGTCCTTAGTGGCAGAACGGTCATGGAAGCAGAGACTTGTGATCAGAATAGTAGAACAGAGGCATACATCAAAACCTGAACTTTCAAAGTACACTTTTCAATTTTGTTGGGAAACCTAAAACAGCACCAAGACTGATGCTTTCGCGTTATTTTTCACGCATTTGCATACCCAAGTGTTGCAAAGAAAAATGTCACTCGCTACTACATGAAATAATCAATTTCTGATTATGCTACAAATATGATTGGCACTGAAAGTGCCTTTTCTAACAAAAGATTATGTAAGAGCAAATGACATACCAGGAGCTACTGGGCAAGACAATATGCTCCTACAGCTTCCTTTTAATGTATCTTTGCGGATGGGAGTATAAATAAGCTCTATACAATTACTGACATCCTCAAGAGTCAAATCCAGAAACTCTGCCAACAAAACTGATTTACTCGACAAGTTTTTGCACCCTTATAATAAACTATGACAATATATGTCCCTACCATCACAGCTTATTTTGTCTTTGCCGCCATCATGATTCACTCTAAACCATTCATGTATGCATTCTCCCTTCTCCCTGCGCATGAACACTTTCAACTTCAGAACAAACCAAAACGAATACAGAGACTCAAGTTCTAGATGGATGATTTTAATATGTAACTGTACCCTCCACTATAAGACGCAACAAAGCTCACACGTTCTCCTTCAACCAAAGATCCTTGAAATTCAAGTGAATGGCAAGTCGGTGGCCCTGTAGTAAAGGGTTTTAGATATAACTCATATCTAAGTATCATTTTGAACTTAAAAAATAAGGCAATCAGCATGGTTGCATGTCTGCCCTAAATAACTAGCAAACAGAGTAATCTTGTTATATGAAAAAAAGAAAGTAATCTTATTAACTTCCAAGCAACCAATTCAGAAGTTGAAAAACTAATAATAATTCATGTTGACCTATTCATATGCAGAGATTCATTTGGTAATACCTGGAACAATGGGTCCAACTTGTTCCGAGATAACAATAGGACCACAAGCCCAATCATTTCGAACAGGTTCACAGGATACAGATATAAAATATCCAATATCATCAATAGACACCTTGTATGAGGATGTCATCTCATCATTGACTTCTATGTTTGTTCCACTTGAACTAGTCTGCACAGTAGCATTCATACTAGTCAGCTTATTTGCTTGTAAAGAGGATTAAGCATTAAAAACACATTTAAATACCCGGAACCAGCGGTAAATTGAATCTCCCTCTTCACCACCCCAGTATTTCTTCTCAATGCTTAGTGTGGTGCCTTCAACTGCAGTTCCGGCTATTCGTAGAGAAAGCAATCTTGGAGTTCCTAGACCATACAATATCAAAATAAGAAACCTTTTTATGAGTAACACAAAGAAAGTATTAGGTGACAACTAATTAATGAAATCCAAGTCCATCAAAATGCAGCATGAGATTTCTGCAACCATATTCCTCTAGTGAACTTTGAACAGTGTCAGAGTATTTAAATATGTGTCGTGCTTGCTGGAAAAGAAAAAAATGCAATAAGGCTTTGAAAAGAGGATACAGACTTTGCTAAGTATTTGCAAAAGAAGCTTTCTAGCTCTCTTCTTAAAACCAGGTGATAACAGCAGAACCTGAATTTCATCAGATACCAGTTAAGTAACAAATGATTACTAAACTCCAATAGTACAATAGAAGGTCATGTTCATAGCTTCTTTCAAGAAGAATCTGGACCCACTTTTCCAAGAAAGGTTAAAAGTACACTTCATCACAATCTGAGATTGTTTTACATAAACCCTATAATTCTATTATTATTTTTTTGTGAGGAACACCAGATTATTAAATTTTGTGGTACCCAGGAAGTGATATATACAGGGATCATAGCTAGGCCTATGCTTAACTCATGGAGTTCTATGACAAGAAAATATATCAGAACCTGGACTGCAGCAAGCTCTGAGACCATCAGTAAGCATTAAGAATAATGTATGCTCTAGGATATCTACAGAAGACTAAAAATCATAACAATTCTTAAAATCCGTCCCAACGTGTGGAAATATATCATTACCTGGGCGAACACGCTCCTGTCCTATACAAGTTTTTGGCTCGCCCACTGTCCCATCATCACGAACTGGGGTACATTTGAAAGATATGAATTTACCAATTGCATCTTTGGCAATACGATATTGAAGAAGACCAGAAAACTCGGGTATCATAGCACCTAAGCCATTTTCAACCTGCAGTAAGAAGAGCCGATCAATGATAGCTAAAAACAGCAACAAAAGAATGTTATATTAAGTTTAAGAAAAAGTTAAAATAAAACTATCATGCAATCTAAGAACTGTTAGCTAGCCACTTACGCTGTTATCCCCATAAGGCCATAACTACCTTAAACATTCAGAAACTGCAATAAGCATGGATGAGCTCACGGTGTTCACAAAGACAATCTCTTTGCTCTAGCTTTTGATTTGTATAAAACCAACGAAGTAGTCCATGACACATGTACAGTTTCAGTAATTAAGACGTAATGATAACCCATGTAATGAAATTATGTATCAAAAGTTCTTCAAATACAGAAAACAAAAATGGTCTTTTCTTCATAACAGGTATATTTTCATTACAGCAACATAAATTATGGAGCATATGCTTTCATAAAATACGACTCAAATAGACTTTGCATCAGTTGTATACGAAACAACAATAGAATCCCTTTGCTTTTACTTTACATTCTCAGTGCTCTGCATCCCTCATATGATAAGTCAGTGTTAATGTTTCTTCCCTTTTATTTCTTGTTTTTTTTTCATTCTGTTTCTTTAGGGAAGTTGAGAATCATCCCTGTTTAGACAAAGTTCATCACTAACTCCCATAGATAAATGATTATCCAAGATTTACTTCCTCATTTGTTACTTGAATTTGATGAAATCCTGAAGTATCTAATTTAAAATTCATTTGAACTGAGTAAGGGATACTCTGCTTCAGAGAATATTCTCACTTATTCTCAGATCAGCACCATCCATCATTTGGTGTCATAACATACCAATCCAAGAGAGTAGGTATAAACATGATCAGTTATTTTTCTCTCTGCAGTCCGGATAGGATTCTGAAAAGAGTCTAGATAATACAGAGCCTACAATCATGTTGAGACAAGAACACAGCATTCTACCTCGTGAAGATACCAATTGTAAATACTTTTTCCCTCATGACCCCCAATATAACCATAAGATGCGGTCATTATTCCACCTTCGGCGTAATCCCCAGTCAGAGATAAAAAGTTAAGGTTAGGTGGAAGAGCTGCAAAAAAGCATCCATGTTGATTGATTATTCAAAGTTAAGAACAAATGCACAAAGTAACAGATGAAATTTAAATGTATTATACTTACTCTCTGCAGCTCTTTCAGAAATGACAAAGACTGGTTCACCAGCTTCGCCATCTGGAGTCATCGGAGTAAATTTTGCAACAATATAGTAACCAACAGCTCCTAAAGGTATGCGGAACGCCTGTAGAAAACAGACATTTACTGATTTCATGCATCATTTTATGACTAAGTAATGGTTATTGATTTGATGCATCACACGTAGGACTGATATTTAAAACCTTGACTTAATATCTATTACCTTTGCAATTTTGGATGTACTCAATGCATCAAGATAGCTCTCACCCTCAAATGTTGATGAACTTGTTTTAAACCACTGAACTCTGCTGGCTCCTTCAATTCCACCGGTAACGATACCAGTTACCGTTATTTTACTGCCTTCCTTTAGTTCACCAATTATCTTTAGATGTGTCACTTTAGGAGGAGCTGGAACAGTTATTTAGATTTATTTTTAAAAAAACAATAAGATCCACAAACCGACATTGTTTCACTATGCAGAATACTGATAACTTATAACCAAAATTATATCAGATTTTAAAGAAGTTACATATGCATTTTGGTCTATCAAGTATGGCTTGTATAATTGGCTTCAGCAAACCTAACCAGCATGTGACACTGGGAGGTGGTAGGAGCTGAAAAGACCAGAACAAGACAATAGAAGGAGAGAGTAGAAAAGAGTGAATTTTCTTGTGAGGTGGACCAACAAAGGGTTACTTGTCAACAAAAAAAAAAGAGTGTCTGGCACAACTTATGTCAGTTGCATGAGATATAATCTAAAATTTCTCCATATTATGTTGTATACTCTTAATTTTTGTATATTTCTCTTATCTAGGAGATTTTTCTATTACTACTATAATTGTTGACCTTAAACGAAAAACTATGACCGACACACCTAAACATCCCATCTTAGATTGACCAATTCGACAAAGTATCGTATCTCAATGTGAACTCATTCCCTGACAAAAGATTCATTACATGAAACAATCTAAGGATGTTAAGTTACGAGACATTAGAATAGCAAACCTTGCTTAACTTTCTGTGACACAAGTGATACAGATTTCCCTTCCTGTCCTGCAAAGCACAGTCAGATGTAACAACGCTCATGGACTATTAAAAAAGATGGAATTAAGTTACAAAATATTACACCTTGAAAATTCACCGGTACATAAACAAAAGCCAAGCAGCAGCCAACATCCTCTTTTGTCAAAGTATATTCATTCATACCAGATGACACCAGCACAAATTCCCTGTCTCCACAACCCAAGCCAAAGAAAAGGATACAAGGCAAGTTAAAAGACTTATCAAACAAGATCAACCAGGTGAAAAGGCGGACATCAAACCACATGAAATAGCAGTATTTTGGGAAGTGTATGATTACCTCATCTAAAAGTTTAAACTACTAGATAGAACATATAGTTGTTTCCTAATTAGTGTCTTCAACAGACTCCATCACGAGCAGGCATGTTTCTTGGTGATGGGTCAAACACAAAGAAAAGCTTTTTTTTAAGAAAAAAGATCAAGGTTGGCAATGAGAATTGAACCCTGGACGTCTATTTGTTTCGACACCATGTTAAGAAAATGGACATAAGCACCCCAAAAGGTACCACAAATGGTAAGATTTCCAAGAAGAGATATGGTGACTACAAATCACACTTAAATCATGCGAGATTCTGACAAATAGTTCATCACACAAAAGTGTATTACATCAGAAAGCAAGCCAGAAAGTTTTTGAAGGATGAGCCAGAATTGGCGAAGTGTACATTGTAGTTGTAGCCACATCTGAAACTATACAAACCAGCTAGGGTAATGCCTACTTAGCTTTAAAAAAGAATAGCTTTGTGACTGCTTTTTCAAGGTGAGACGCCAAGAAGTTGTGATCACTTCCATTTAGTAGTCATAATTGCGTAGACTAGAGGAATTTAAAGGCTTGGTTCACGCAAGTGCATCACAGTTGAATGGATGTGGTTTTATTATAGATTGCAGGATTTGCTAGAAGATTATGTGGCAGGTGTACTAGTAAATACTACTTTAGTCTTTATGAAATATGTTGAGTATCTGACTCAAAACAATAAGGAAATGTTAGGGTAACACAAGACCTTTATAAACCGCTTTAGAAGCCTCCATTAACACTTATGTGGGACATATATAACTCAACCACAGAACCACCCTGTGCTAACCTGATTTGTAGTTTAATTAATGCAAACTTACTTGTGTGGGAATAAGATTAATCAAGTTTGGTCTGATACCATGTGAGAAGAATATGAACATCCTACCCAAAACCTTAAGATAATGGGTGCCCAAAACCTTCATAAACTCTTTCAGAACCCTTCTAAAACCAATGTGAAACTGGAACATATATAACTCAACATTGGAAAGCCTTACACAACGATGTGTGACCTATATAAATAATTAATAAACTTAGGGTGTTCATACCCCAAAAGAATTTAGGCAAGATAGTTATTTGCACCTGTTTGAATAGACAAGCATTACCAATCCAAAAAAAAACAAAATAACAGTAATCTTCATGAATAACTAAACAACAACAAACACAGTGCAATCCCAGAAGTGGGGTATGGGAGGGTAAAGTGTATGCAAACCTTACCCCTACCTAGGAGGTAGAGAGGTTGTTTCCGATAGACCCTCAGCTCAACGAAAAGCATGTCAAAGCAGATTGAAAAAGAAATAACAGAAGTGAAGAAATCATAGCAAAATACTAAAGAAAGCATTCTGAAAAAAAGAAGATAATTGACTACAACAAAATAGTGCGATAATCGAAGTACAAGAGACTGTAGATAGTAACATAAATTGAAGGACAAGACAACTTACCCTGTATCCTTATCTTCACGCAACCACTCGAACTTGCTGGGTCCTTCTTTTCCTCCAAAATATCTCCCAATTCCTCTTATGGTATTTCCTTCAACAACATCTCCAGAAATTTGTACATCACCCACTGATGGGGGAGCTGCAACAGAAAATTCTAACTTAGTGACCACATCCTGCCATCAGGCGGTTACCAATAAAACTAGTTCAAAAAAGACTGCTTTGTAAGATGGACCAAAATGAGCTCAAGAAAATAGGTGATATCAATCCCTGAAGCCACTGCTTCTGTTTTGCATAACTTAGAAGCTGCACAGTAATGATATATCTCCATTTAAGAGGAAGTTATTTCTCCCATCAAGCTACCATCTTAACATGCAAAAACCCTATGTAGAATGTCATTGAGAAGCTCTAATATAATTTTTTTTTGAACTTGGTAACTTTGTATTATATCACAAAACAGTACATGGGTCGTACTGTAACCTTATATACAAGAGTACTCCTGATTTCACTTCTCTACGTCTAAATTGAGTCTAACACATCAATAATAGAGAAGCTCTAATATAATTGACATAGAAGTAAACCATATTCTATATTTTTTGGTTAAACTTCTACTTTTCCTGATTGAGGAATGAACAGTTCTTCCATATTAAATAATTGCCTGTCATATTGCAGCCTTCTTGGAATCTAATGACCCAAAAACAAACGACTCCCAACTCCATACCTGCTTTCACATAATCTGTTATAGCATATTGAGGTTCTCCTTTGGCACCTTCCTCTGTCATAGGAGTATACATAAACATCAAACACGAACCAACATCATCAAGCATCAACTGATATTCCTCTTCTTCAGCACCAACAATGACCACTGGATTGCTGCTCCACGTTTTCCTTAACCAACTGAAAGGTTAAACCAGAAGATTACTCCTCTATATCAATGGTGGGCAAGTTTTGGGAAAAATTAAGATTATCAAAATCTGAGGAGTGTTGTGACTGCAGTTTAAGATGATCATCTTACCTTGAAATGCTTCTCCCTGGGGTTCCACCGCACCATGCAATTTCTGCATGGCCTCGAATTATATTTCCTTCTAATAAATCTCCAGATACTTCAATCTTCAACACTTTCGGATGTCCAGTTCCTTTACCAAAAAAATAGAAAATGAGAAAAGGAACAAGAAACAGAAGAAAAGATGATACAACTGACAGCCAATATAAAATCAAGAGACAATTAACTAACAGTAAGACATGCAAATAAAAAGACTTCAGCAGAAACACCAGCCATTGAAGATGACAGAGGCAACAGATAATGCATCTTCTCAAAACATCTACAGGATTGGATATAACTTCTTTGGTTAATTTAATGTTTCAATTTTTTTAACTGTTAGTTATACTTATCAAAAAGAATTCAGAACATTATCTTTGCATTGAGAGATTTGACTTGGTTCGTAATAATATGAAATATACACATTTTCTTCTGACAAGCAATTGCAGTTAACAGGTGCTTTAAAATCTGACAAATGAGATGTTTTTCTTGTTTTCTTCTCTTTTTTTCCCTTTCTGATAGGACACATGCAAAATGTAGTACCTTAGCAGCCCCTAGTTGTGTTAGTTGGACCAGAGTAGATAAAAAAGCATAAGGTCTAGTAGGATTCTCAGTAATCCCTGTATGATTCTCATTAACATTGCCCAAGCACTTAACAATCTTCCTATGTGATATTGGACATAGCATAAATTAGCAAGCAAATACATTTGCAAATTCAGAAATTGAAATAAAATTCCTCAAACTTTTTTTTTTTTTGATGACAAGGGAAACCCGCAGCCGCTACCCTTTGGGTGCGCACAGGGTAAAACCCCTATATTTGCAATTCAACTATTCCCACTGTCTCAAAAATAGTAACAGAGTACAGATCTGATGAAGGGTCAAAGGATCCAAACTCAATGTGAATCCAACAATCTATATCAATTTCTTTTTTTTAATTAAATAACACTTCTACATATTTATCTAGTGAAACTACATAAAAGTAATACAAATCACAATCTTCTATAGTTTAGAAACCAAAACAGAAAATGCTGTACCCAAAGATAAAACTGTTTCCTTTCCCAAATAATCGTGGTGCCATTCTTTTAGGGACAAAAAAGTTCTATATCAAACACAAACTCATTTTTCAATCTATCATATATTTCAAATATCTCTGATAAAGAGGGAGTAGTCATTTCATCATTAACTCTTCTTTTTTCATAAGTCACGTCATCATTATTTTGTAATTTCCTATGTACAAAAAAATAGCATACCAGGTGAAACTGGAGAAGATATTGCAAAAATAGTGGGATATTCTGTCTCTCCCAGCTTCGGCGTACACTCAACTTTCAAGATTCTACCAATGTCTTCATGCTTTGGCCAATAGAACTGATCATAAAAAACTAATATCATATAATGATGTCTCATGGATATAGAAACACAGAACCTCAAATAGAGTAGCTAAAAACTATTACCTCCCTCGTTGCGCCATGTATTTCTATGAAGTTTGATGGAGTTCTCTCTCCTATAAACCATTGGTATTTCAAGTCTATGTCTGAATCAGTACTCTCAGATTCATCCTTGACAAAATTGAAGTGACAATAGCAAGCATCTTCCGCAAATGGATGGTCAATAAAGGCTTCTTTGAGTAGGAACCCTTGAGGAAGTTGTTCCTTCCATTGCTCAAGCAGAAAGCGAAAAGTTGAATCTGTGGAAGAGAGAAGTATTACAGAATGAATTAGTCGAGGTGTGTGCAAGCTGGCCAGGACACCACGGTTATCCAAAAACAAAAAAGTATTACAGAGATGAAAAACATTATAACTGAAAATCAGCTGGCATACACATAATTAATCAAATTTTAATTTAGTAGAAGGGTAAAATGGTAATTCAACTTTTCACTTTGGAGCTTCCCACTTATAATAATATATGATGATTATAAGATGATAACCTAATACGGTTTAGCGCATTCTCAACTGTACACAGATGAAATGCAACTAAGCAAGTATGTTTGAAACCAAGCATACATCAAGAATGCTTCAGTTTTTTTATTTCTACTTGTACTAAATAGCCGTCCACTCAATCATTTAAACTACAAATAGTCGGCTGATGTAAAATCTATGAATAATTCATGTATAATATGTCATGTGTATAACCATGTAGGATTAGTGTACTATCTTTGTATACCGGTTGGAAAAGTAAACAGTGAATCAACCAATTATTTGTGTAAGATCCCTTTTGTAAATAAACAAAAAGTGGAATATCCCCAGTATACAAGTACTAGATCACAAGAGCACTAAACAGAAAAGTTAAATCCCAAGAATCTCATCCAATCATCTATGCAACAAGTGATTGCCATTATGCTCCAAGAGTATACAAAATTAACACTGTATTCTTGATATGTGTCATCATATTCCTTCAAGCTCTATTAACACTGTTCTGTTATATATGAAAAAAAATTATCGAGAGCACGTCATGTGAGGTTACCCTCTAGGGCTAGTTTTTTTGTCTTATTCCCACACATTCTCCTGTTTCCAAACATCAAATACTATAATTGTGTCACTGAACTAATGTCCATCAAGCTAAGTGCAGCACCACCAACATATATTCTCTTCAAGCTCCAAGAAGCAATCCACAAAGACAGAACAAACACGCGCGCACAGACACACACAAAAACAAAAACAAAAAATCGGAGAATGTAGATTGGTAGGAAATTCCATCCTGTCACAATTAGATGGCGAAAGAAACTTTCCATGCTGTTAACAGTTGTAAGAAAATTCTAGCTAAACAAAACAACTCAGCATCTAGCTTTCAGGGCATGAGTTGGAGTTGATATCCCATCGAAACAGCTGTGGTTGCTTTCATTCCACACAACTCAAAAGATGACTGCAGGAATCATTTCCCAGACCTTCTTGATCGTTTTGTCAACTCTCCAAAAATCCAGCTAGTGTAAGCTTCCTTGGTAAACCGAGGGAGTTTCCAGGATAGTCCACAAATAGACAGGAGTTGGGACGAAATTCTAGACTTAAGCAGTAAGAGGGCAGTGAAGAAGTAAGTGATTGACACTCTCAAGGCTTTGGATTCTCCAAGTTATTGTAGACGAGAAAAGTTGGATTCTCTCTCCTATAGCCTCTAACTTTTGTTTATATCTCCTCCCGAAACTGTTTTACACCTTTATCTTGCCTCTCACCAGCAGAACTATGAAATGATGTAAACAAAAGAAGAAATCGAAAACAAAATAATTCCATGGCCACTTGATTAAACATTGTGTGTCTTCACATAAATAAGATTGGATCCCACAAGAAGACTAGCTCCTAGCAGTAACAGATCACAGATACTAATCCAATCTCAATAAACTAGTCAAAGTTAAACTTTTTTTTTGATAGACTAGTGAAAGTTTAACTTTAAGCATGGATATGTACCAAACCAATCTTGGTGTATACAACACAGCATATCACCCAGTTCAACAAACAAATCTTACACATCTGGTATCCATTCAACTAACACTACTTAAGGATGTTAGGAAAACTTTTGTATGTGAAAAATATGCATACAGAGATTATCACTGAATCGGACAATAAAAGAACAGCAGTTTCTCGAAAACTCACCAACTGCTTGTTCTGGACGACAAAATTCCCAACCACCTCTGATGCACACGGGAGTGTGAGAAGGATAACGTTTAGCTAGAGCTATCTCCTCACGGGAGAGATCTGAAAGCATATAATTTCATTTAGAAGGAAACAACAAGCAATACTACGAAATGAGAATTCATATTCAACAGAAATCATAAGATGCAGCTACCACAAGAAAAACAAGGATTGACCAAAGTATTGTACCTCTATCATTGAACTTCTTTAAAGTAGGACCGACAAGCAAAATGGAAGCTGCCTCTAGGTGAGGCAGCCTAAGGATAGGATTCTCCTCCACGCGTAAATGCTGTAGATTGTCATGGAAGAAAAACAAAACTCAGGCAAACTAAACAAACATCCTTGGCATACTATATAATACAGCATTCGACATAAAAAAAAAATCTAGATATGGAATAGTACGTGCACATTAATACAGAACATTTCTAATTCACATGTGCACTCAAATGAAGAGAGCTTTCTGTGTCCTCTATCATTTTGTGAGTACCAGGAATTTACTGAATCAAGTCAAGATCCAAAAAAAGTTATCTTATAAAGAAGATGACAAGTAAAATAGCTTCCTATTCAGCTATACTGTGTAATATATAAGTGATGCTACAGTAACCTTTCCATTTTATGAGAATGTTACTGTAAGCTCAGTTTAACACTTCTAACTAGAAGTGGTGCATATTATAGCTATCAGGATCTCTCTTTATTTTGTTGTATGACCAGTCACCAATCTAACACGAATGAATTAGGCAAACATTAAGCATACTTATGGCGTTATTGCATCCAGAGCCCATCAACACTAGATAGCGTTTTTCAGATAATATTTTGAGGCATCTGAGAGACTCGGACAACTTAAGTAAAATTTATTGGGAACAGAGAAGGAAACACTAATTCTGTTGATAGTTCATCCCTGTTGGCTCTATCTTCCCCTCCTCCATAGCCAAAAGGAAAAAGAGCAAGCGAGGAAATTACAGAAAAACAGGTGATTAGGTGTTCTTTAAATATGCCTATATCTTTTACCTTACCGTCATTGATTTGATTCTTCAGTAGATGCCAAGATCCAAATAAGAAATAAAAAATCTAGTAATTCAAACTACAAGACATAAGAGTAATATTGATTAATCAGAAAAGATAAAAGTAGCAAATAAATGGAATTGGATACTATGATGATATTGGGCTATGCAGCCGTTTTAACTTTTATGTGGAACGTTATTACCAGTAGCACTTATACCGAATTATGCTGTTAACGCTTGAAGTTTCATGATTCTATGAGAAAGGAGCAAAAATAAAATGAAACTCACCGACTAAGTTCCTTCATGATTAATTAAGAAGAGTAGAGACAGGGGTGTATCAGGTTGCAATCTGTTTATTTTCATAAATGTGCTACTCAAACTACCTGTTAAACTCAGTGACTATTGGATTACCCAGTTATGACCCCTTAAAACTTTCTAATGTTGTAACTCCTTAAAATAGTCTGCCTAATTAGGAACATGCATTGTGCACATACCCACATGCCACCACTACAAACAACAATAAATATCACTCCTTAACCAAAGTAGAAACATAATGTCATCATTTACAAACACATTTAACAATAATCAGAAATTGACTAGATGTTCATTACTAACCTCAAGAGAAGGTAAATAAGGGAATCCTTTCAATGTAGAGATTTTGTTCTTGCTAGCAGCTAAGACCTGCAAAGGAAAAATATATGTGATGTAGGTTCTAACCATACAAGCAGCAAGAAGTAAGAAAAGATAAAAATCAGAGATTAACCTGTAACCGAGGTTGACTGGCCATTGAAAGAGATTTTAACTTATTCTGAGCAACAGATAGGAACTGAAATTTAAGAGTCATAGAAAAAAACAATAAGCTGGTCTTTTTTTCTCTTTGATAATTAAGAAAACAACAATAACCTAGAGTAGGCATTGAAAAACTGAAAACTGCTGTGAGTATGAACAAGGAGTGAGGCAGATGTTTAAAGACTTACTTCTAAGTTGGGAAGCTCTGGAAGGCTTGTGAGTGATGTAATTTGATTTCCAGCAAGATAAAGTTGCTAAAAGGTCAAAAAGTTGAAAAAGAATGACAAATTACTTCAGAGCCTTATCAATGAGAGAATAACCGTTTAAGTCTTTGAAACAAAATAAGACATCAAGAGAAGTGCTGACCTGAAGGGCTTTGCAATTCTCAAGTGGTTCAAATCCAGGACCTTTGAAATCATTGAAGCTCAAATCAAGAACCTAAACAGACAAATATCAATATACTATGAGTGAAAATAACTAGACAATTGCATTATCTTCGCAAGTAGTGTCAAAACTCAAATTGAAGAAATATACTTTTTTAACTGTACAGAAATATACAAAGAAAACTGACCTTCACCCTAGTCAGTATCTCAATACCATCCAACACTGATAAGAGATTATCCCTGAGGTAAACAAACTGCAAAACGAAATTTTGTTTATATCTTTTTGTATAATCCATTATTATACCCACATAATACTGTACGAAATCTCAATTTTGTTGTCAAATCTTGTCACAGAAAACACTCTTGGAGACCCAAATGGGTTTCATTGTTCATTCAAGTCTATGGTACTCGGACTCTTCAAAAAAGTCAATGGGTGTGTGTTGGATTCTCCAGAAGTAGTGTATTTTGGAGAATGCAACAGAGGTGCGGCATCGAAAGTGAAGAGGTCCGCAACTTATATTCTAGTTACCTTATAAAGGTAAAATAAAATGGAACTAATGTTAGTTACCTCTAAAGTTGGCGACAAGTTCAGCCCACCATTGTTGAGACTACGTATTCTGTGGCCCCTCAGATCCAAGCGCTTGATGAAATTAAAGGAACGAAGGTTCAATAGTTAGTAAGATTACTAAAGAACCTTTTTTCTAATGAACATAGGGAACATATCCTATGTCGTAACCAGAAAACTTTCAATTGAAGCAAAATGGAGAACAAAGATTTTATAAACAAAATGGACCTTCAAGGTAATCATGCTGAACAAAGCACAAACAGCTTTAAAAGATTAGCATTGAACTATTTTAGTTAGTAAATCTGCAAAATATGCTCGTGTATTATGAAGAATACTTACCAGCATAAAAATCTCGCAATGATAGCTAGTTCAACCAAAACATAAAATATTAACCAAAGACCCAAATAACCTCTCTTTGCACATACAAAGTGTTCTTGCAAATATATTATTTTCCGAAATCACAATCTATATACTTGCATGAATATATTGTTTACTTAACCTATACTGTGACAGTGATGTTGACTTTGTATTGCTAGGTATTTTGATAGGCAGAGAAATGCCATCAATAGATAGACTGAGCAGCATTTTTCTATCAACAAGAAGATAAACATCACATTTGAGAGCATTTAACTTAAAATATAGTCCAAGTTTACAGCTGATCAAACAAATAGATCAAGCACTACTTGCCACAAGAGAAGAGAACGACAATCATAAAAGTCAAGAGAAGACAATCAAAGAAAACCTTCTCTCCTCGGAAAAAAAATGGTATCAGATGAATTTATTGTATGTTTAGAAGCTTTTAGGTGAGTGGTATAGTTCAAAGCAAAAGAAATTCAATATATACTCCATCAAAAGCAATTGAAAATAGAGTGCACTTGTGTATGTACTTTAAAGCTTTTCCGTTAAAATATATAATTCAAAAGCATATTTAGCATCAAAAATCATGTTCTATTTATCTTGATAGGTAGAAGAGCCAATCAATATAGATAAGTGGAATTTGTGAACCAAAATTTTTGTAATAGCTAAATAGAGATGGAGGTTTGGAATTCTTTAGATAAAGCATGTGATATGACGATTAGTAAATGCATGGGAAGCCACTGCACAAGGATCTTTTTTTAATAAGGTCCACCCACAGCCCAAGGTTCTAAAAACGGAATACAGATGTATGCCTCACTGTCAGCATTAAAACCATCGATTTGATGCTTGAGAACTGAGTAGCTCTCAATTTAAGCACTTTCAATAACATTGTTTCATGTTTGTCATAACCCTTACCTAAATGATTTGCTTTAAACCTATGAGGTTTGTTCTTAAAGAACACCCTTAGAAGAAAAAGATACTAGTGGAGCAGCTTATATGAGAAGGTAATTTATCCACCTTCAGGAGAGGTAAAATGAACTATTGTTTTCACTCATCTTCAATTTAACACCAACTAAAATTAATTTTTGCAACATGAAGAAATGAGACATAAGTTATTACCACATCATCGCCAGCTTTGATTTCCACTTGAGGAAGCATGATAAGACGTGAATCCCGACCTTCAGGAGTCCCCCCTTTCTTCCTGCTTGATGAATTACTACTTCTGTCCAACGATTTTGACAATGAACCAGCCTTCGATCCAGTGGAAACAGAAGGTGACTGAGCAGCTGGAGAAGACAACTTCGTGGAGAACTTTCTAGTTGAGACACTACTAGCAGTACTCTCCAACGATGTAGACGCACTCCTCCTTGCAGAGGATAGTGATGGCGATGATAATTTAGCTGAGGTCCTCTTAACAGATTCTTGTTTGCTTGCATCAGAACTAACTGATACTCTTGGAGTCTTTGCAAGGGGTGAAACGGGAACTGATCTTCTGATCTCTGAAATACTTGATCGAATAGTAGTTCTGGTACTGGTTGATGGCAATGTGCTTTTCCGCATTTCGGGAAGCGATCGCCGCATAGGATCTGTTGCCAAAGAGTTGATCTTTTTAGCTGTACCTGAAGCAACACTACCACTAGCTCGTTTAGTTACTGTTATTGGCTGCTTGTCAGGCAAACCGCCAGTGCTACTCCTTCTTGTGACTGGAGTTGTTCCTGAAATTCGTGAAGTGCTACTAACAGTCGATTTTGTCAGAGAAGACTTGACACCTCTGGGAGTAAAATCAGTGCCATCTGTTATTCCAGTTCGCCTCTTCACAGTCCCAGCATTTGTTGCCCCATTTTGAGTTTTTAAACTTGGTATCACTATCCTTGATTTTTTCACACTCTCTGCTGATGATTGCTTTAGTGACTCTGAACTTTGTGGATGTTCGACAAAATCCTGCAGCGGAGATGGCTTCTCTATTATCTCTGGACTTTGGTTCTCTTCCACTGAGTCTTCATTGGATTTTAAAACTGAATCATCCATTTGCAATCAGTTCTTCAAGACCAATTATCTGTCCAATTAAAAACCAAACAAAGCAAGCTAAATTAGCACAGCAGACATCATCTTTTTAGAAAAGAGAAGTACTGGCAAAGCACTATACAGAGCAGCACCGACATTCAAAGAAAGCACAGTGAAAATTATAGTATCAAAAAGTTTCAAGTCTCAAATCTAACAGAAAAGTGATGTTCTTTAGCTGAAATTCAAGCACTTTCTGTCACATTCCCTCAGAACCCTGCTGTAAATCATCACTCATAATAAAGAAAAAAAAAGGCAAGAATGCACCTTTTCTGCCTAAAATTCAAGCACTTCTTTTCCAATTCCCATAACAATTCAGTAAAACCCCATCACTAAAATGAACCAAACAGCAGCTTCTTTGCAGCTAAAATTTAAAACAAAACCCAAAAAAAAGAAGCCAATAATGCAGCTTCATTTAACCAAATAGCACCTTTTCCCATATTCCAAAACAACCCCACTAAAATCACCACTCAAAATACAAGAAAAAGTCAAGAATGCAGCTTCATTAGAGCAAAAAATCAGAAACTTTTTCCACCATTCCTACACCACAAGAAAAAGAAACCAAGAAAACAGTTGGGTTTACATACGCACCTAGTTAAAGTCTAGATCTGGTGAAGAAGGGAGCAAAAAAGCAGTTCAACAACTACCTAGACCATTTTTGTTCCTTTTTCTTTAGGGTTTTTGGTGCAAGAAAACGAAAAGGCACTATAGTAGTAGAGAATCCATATAGGAGTTTTCAAAGCGTGGGAAAAAGCGAGGTAAAGTGGGAGAGAGAGTGAGAGAGTAAATGTAACTGAAGCTGATAAGGAGAGAGAGAGAGCCAATGAGAATGGTGACAGGTGAGAAATATATGGGACGGGAAAAAGACATTACAATGCATACATTATATATATTCAAGCAGAATTGTTTTCTTCCTGAAATCCGCAACCGTTGTCTGCACGCTGGCGACTGAGCATGTAATGCCGGGGGAACATTCAATTTTTTACATTATTCATTTTCTAGAACATAGTTTATACTTCAAGCTTGACAACGCTCGACTATCTATTAATCTTTGATCTTCATACTTTCTTGACTACAGTCCTTTTCTTTTCATTTGTCCTCCAACTTATCATTATCAATCTCTCACACTTTCTCATTAGAATATACATGTTTATCTCTTTATATATCTAAATTATCTCAGTCTCTTGATTTTCGGTATATTATGAATTGTGAATTACATAATACATATATTATAATACATAAATTAATAATTGTAGTGTTATTCATTCTATCTGCAATTCTTGTTGAAAGTTTGGTACATTTGCCTAATATTGGAATATATATGATACATTAAAATATGTATATGATTTTAAATTGAATGATCCATGTTTTCAATTATTACTTTCTAAATGCACAATTAAAGTGATTTTGAATAAAGGACAATTTTATCTTTTGAATAGTTTGTCTATGTATAGCTAATCGTATTCTTATGCTACATTGGATGTGAAATAGAATAATAGAGTACAATAATTCTTGTATTAAATACTCCTTGTGCTAATAATACTAAATTTGAAATGACAATTAAAAAGGTAGAGAAAATTATTCTCCCTAATAGTTGCAACCTCAATTACCTCAATTGTGTCCTAAAGATCAAACTAACTTAATTTCATGTGTCTAATTTGCATTAGAAGGTAAATAGCAATTAAGAGAAATTAAACAAACATCCGTCAAGATATATGCACTAAATCATGCATAATTACTTATACATGTGTTATAATTTTTTATAATTCATAGCTTCCTACGTAATTTTGTGTGTGAAATAAATGTCATTTAAGTTTTATACACATTTATGTCTTTAATAGATTAAAGATCTTTCTCCATTGATATTTTGTAGCAAGTTCAAAGGATTAAATCATTTCAGAATATAATTGTATCATTCATATGTTGATTTCTAACACATACGCAGAGTCAAAAGCAACGAAGAAAAATAGAAATGTACCTTCAATCACAATTGTTCAAGTGCTGTGGAGAATCGTCTTCGGCTTACACAAACTTGTACTGAAAAAATGATAAGAAAGATCTTAAGAATTTTCTAGTCTATGTCTACCACAGTATGTGCCGGACTGATGCAGCCGCAGACACATTTATAAATAGGCTAAGACTTTAACCCTAGGGACTTTACCATAAAATATAATTGTCCTAAGGACTCATAATTAAAAGTGTCTTTCTGTAGGGAGAACTTCGGAATATGCATAATTAAAAAAATACCCCCCCCCCCTTCACACACACATATATATAGTAACCGCTGAACCCCCTTAGACTTTTTGTGCGCTTAATTCTTTTATCCACCCCCGCCCCCTTCCCTCTACCCTTCCTTTAGTGAAAATCTTGATTCCATCACTAGTGTGGATCCACATCAAATATCTTAGACATTAATCTTACATTCTCACTTGATCCACGTATTATAAATAGCTAATTATTTATCGATAAACATACTAATAATATGGCCACATACTTTATACACTCGATTAAATTGTTATGCAACAATCACTTTAACTATAACACATTATTAGGTGAATCGTGACAATTGTTAGACAAAATGTTCAACAATTGTATGAATGAACTTAAATATAAGTTATTCAGAATCAACTTTATTAATTGAATAAATCACATCATAATACATGAAAATTAAAATTTGCACTCACGTATAATAAGGAAATAATAGTCTCGATAAAGTGTTGGAGAAAAAAGCAAGACTACAATGAGTTATTAAGCTTCATATGAATTACATGTTGAAAACCGACATTTTGTTCTTGGCATCAATCTTCATTCTATTGCATTATTTTGTTAGGTGTTTCTAATTCGATATACTTCCTACGTCTATTTTTACTTGTTCACAATACTATTTTGGAATGTCCAATAATACTTGTCTAATTTATAAAATTAATGAATAATTTATCATATTGTGTCTATTTTACTCTTGTTATCAAATAGTACTATTTTATTTTCAATATTTAAATGACTTATATCTAATAAGGATGATATAAGTCAAGTCATTTACTGCTTTTTAATCATGTGTCAAGTCAATAGTGAACAATTATTATTGGGTACAAAGAGTATTGAACCATTTGCTTTCACTTCAGGAAATTCAGTGAATAAACCTTTTAACTTGTCCTTTGTATGTGTACCTACCATAATATTTTTAAATATTCTTATCATATTTTTTTATATGAGATCCAAACTTCAATTTTAAAAACTTTAAAAGCATCAAGTGCGGTTGATTTATTAAACAGAAAATAGATATTTATGTATCTTAAATAGTCATCAATAAATGACATAAACTACTTTCTACCATTTAAGCAAGGAATAGAAAAAAGTCCACAAATAATTTTATAAATGATCTCGAGATGAGAAATTCTTTTGGCACCTTGTTGATGTGCATACCTTTTATCATTAATTAACTTCTTAATTGATTTTATCAACAGAGACATGTTTCAATCTCTTGTGCCAAAAACTAGATGACTTTTCATTGATAATAAACCATTTAGTACAAGTTTTTTTATCATTTCAAATTTTGCTTTGCAATAGTTGATTTGTTTTGAAAAAATTGAATGACAATTGTCTCAAATTCACTTTTAAATCATGGACATTATTGACTTTTGACATAAGTCATGACATCATTGAAAGATTTGAATGACAATTATCATCATTATTGACTTTTAAGTCATGAACATTTTGTATCTCAATCAATAAGGCGGACAAAAATCAAAATAGTACTATTTTTCAAATTTGACGCCTTAGTGAGTGAGTTTAAAATTGGGTAAAGAGGATCTACTATATAACACTATTATGACTTGTTTATTGTTCCTTCACGTTTACTTGCTTATATTTGATTTAACAGCAATTGAAATCACTAAAATTCGATTATGTGCAAAATGCAAAGAAATGTTGAACCACAAAGATCTAATATTGTACGTAATGTTATTATATATTTTTACAAGAGTCTGTTTTCACAATCTGAATGAATGATATTATGATCACATGACAATAATTTTAGCAGTTACATCAAAGCTCCCTTTCGCTTGGCACACCTCTTAAAGAAGAAATAAACAAAATGATAGATTCACTATATCACTCATAATTATTTTTATTTTTAATCCAACATGAACAAATAAAAATAAGCAAATAGTATTTATAAATTCATTGAATTTTGCATTATTCCAATTCACTCTATAAATAGTGGCACAGGTCATGCCCCACGTATAAATTTCAAAAATAAGAAGAAAAAAAATCAATAAAAAAATGATGGTGAATTGGAAATAACAAGAGGCATAAGTTTGAAAAAAAATGATTAATATTTGAAATTAGTTTTTTTTTTTTAAAAAAAGAAGAAGATATTTGAACATGAATTAATGAATGGATGAACCAATATGATGAACAAACACTTATTGAAATATTTTTCAAATATTATTTTAATTTTCTGACACAAAATTTATGGACAAATGGTCCCTTAAGGTCCTATTTGATCATAAATTTGAGAAAATAAATGAATAATTTTTTCATGAGAAAGAGGAATTTCTAAAATTTAAAGCTATTTTAATGATATATTTTTTTTCATTTATGAGATATAAATTTTGTAGTATGAAACATGAATATAGATCCACAGGTGCTAATTTTTTAATCTATATTTTTTATGCTATTTATTTGACCAACTTATCATACGGAACCAAATTTCTAATGTGATAGTACTACTCATAATGTCCAAATTTCCTTTTATTTAAATAAATAATTTTAAGGTGTCTTAAGTACAACAAGAATAAGAATAATTTGTTTCCCCCCCCCCCCAAAAGAATATGATAATTTTTATTCGAAGGCTGGTAAGCATTAAACACAGCCTTTATTTTTGTCCTTTTGGCAAAGACATTTTGTCCATTGTCTTAAATTACTCTCGACTCAAAATCAAATTAAAACACTCGATTATTAGAGGACAATTCTTCACTTCAAAAGGGTAGGTTTTATCCCGACAAGATTTCCTATCTCACAATTCGCTCATTTCACATGGAAGGAAAATATTATAGTGTTTTAATAACAATATTATTATTTCTATTTATCTGAATTATGCAATAAGAAAAGTAAGTATAAACAAAAGACGATTTAAAAGGCTAAGACTCACTTAGCTGAAGATATAAGACATAAAATAGTTAAGAGATAACTTGGTTTCAAGTACACTCAGACTACGAGAAATTAAGACAATTTTATAATACACTTCATAAGAAAATATAAATTATGATTTATTTTTTCTACAATTTTGCTTCCAATTATGTTTTAAGATATAATTTTTCTTCGTTAAATATTTATTTTACTGAAATGTTTATAGTCATTTAGAATAATTACTATTAAAGATAAGAAATAAAATAAAAGCATATCTTAAACTTAAAAAATAACAAATAATTCATATAGATTCATTCCTCGTACCTGGTCCAGCCTCAAAACCCTTGGCGGGTTGATAAGAAATCAGTCTTATTTGGTTAGACGAAATTGAATAAACTATTTTTATAAATTACGATAGATAATTTAAAAAGAAAA